CCTGGCCCGGAGGTGACCACATGGCGCGGCAGACCTCTCCTGACCCGCCCGCTGCTCCCCTCAGCAGTGTACTTCGTCGACCTGCCTGTTCTGCTCCCCACTCTGTCTCTGGTGAAGCCTCTCACCACCGCCCCTGAGCCTCTGGCCTGTACCCCAGTTCTGTATGCACCAATAAATAAATCTTAAAAAAAAATTAATTAAATTAATGAGAACTGGAGAATTGAAAGGTCTATGACAACTGTCAAAAGACATATAAATATAAAGAGTAAAGCAGAAATCAATTTAAGAACTAACAAGTAATGATTAAGACAATAAACATAACTTGCTTTTACTCCTCAATTAAAAAGAAAATATTCTTGATAATTTTATTGGCATTTTTTTCTTTCTTTTTTAAAAATTTTTTCACATCATTCTTCATTTTGTGCATTTTTCCATCAAAGTTGTAATCCCCATGGGTCTTGATAATTTTAAAACACAGACCTCATTACTTTGCATAGAAACAAAAGCCTAAAATCAAATAACATAAATATTAAGTACCAAAATAGTAAAAGATCATATGGGAATAGACAAAGCAAGCAAACATAATAAGTAAGAGTAATTAGAGGTTGCAATATCAATATTAATGAAATATTGATAATGATTAGTTTGAATCTATATGAAAAAAATCTGTTAAATTTGAGAAAGAGCTAAGTATCCATAGGAAACAAATAGAATCTATAACTAAATAATAAAAGTCATAGAACTAAAATTCAGATAATATGGAACATTAAATTTTTTATAATATATGTATTTATTACATTATTCTTCATTTTGTGCATTTTTTCATCTTAGTTATAATCCCTGTGGACTTCCCACCACCAATTCACCCGTATGCCATCGCCATCCTCTTGTGCACTCTCCCCACCCCAGTTTTGATCCTGTTTCCCTCTCCACTCCTGTAAAATGTCTCTGGTTTATAGTTGTTCATTGTTTTTCATTTTTACTTTATTACAATTGCTTTTATTCCTCCCTGATCCCTTATGCTCCTGCTAGGAGTGAAACCATCCAGTATTTTTCTTTTACTTGCTTATTTCACTAAGCATGATCCCTTCCAGCTCCATCCACGTTGCTGCAAATGACATGTGTTTCTTTTTTTGGTTGCTGAGTAATATTCCATTGTGTATATGTACCACATCTTCTTAATCCATTCATCTATTTGTGGGCATTTGGGTTGATTCCATACCTCCCCTATTATAAAGAGAGCAGCAATAAACATAAAGGTGCAGTTGTCTTTTTGAATCAAGAAATATTACATTTTTTTTACCAATATATAAAAATGTGGGGCCCTCCCTCAAGGTTCAACTGGTTAAACACAGCAATGTGAAGCTGTTTGCAATGTGAGTTTGATTCCTGTCCAGGGAGCTGACCCACATGGCATGGCAGACCACTGCTGTCCTGCCTGTTGCTCCCTTCAGCAGTGTATTTCAGTCAATTTGTCTCTTCTGCTCCCCACTCTGTCTCTGGTGAACCCTCTCACCTCTGTACCCCTGGCCTGTACCCAGTTCTTATATACACAAATAAGTAAATCTTAAACAAACAAACAAACAAATACAGTACATAGAAATGTGAACAGAAACTTAATTTAGTACAATTTAGTCTATAAAAATAATAAAAGTATAAATTTAATTTAGTCTATAAAAATAAAAGTAATGGCAAGAAAAATGAAAAATTTGATTTAAGATAGTATATTAGTGGCTAAGATTCTGGGACACTCTAATCTAGATTAGGAAATATACCTTTTTTTCAAATATCTATTTACCATGCACAAGTCATTATATAATAGATGATAAAGATAATTTCAATTATTCTGCCAGAGCAAAAGTATTATATGCTTAGATCAAAAACCTCAGATTAATTTTTAAAAAACTTTAAGCCAATAATTTAAACATCTTAATACTGATGAGAGAAAAGTCATAGAGAAAAATGAGAAATTTCCTAAGCACTGAAAATTAAAGCACTATTCTAAAGTACATCAAAGTGAATTTGTAGCTTTTTCAAGCATATGAAATTTAAAATAAACTGTCCTCACATACTAGAGTCAATAAAAGATTTCTAAATAACATTAACATAGATAATAAAATCTAAAATTTATTGACTGTTCACTCTGAAAAAGGCACTGTGGTAAACACTTTATAGAAAGTGTTTTTATCTTCTCAACTATCCTACCAACTTCATAAACAATACCTTATTCTCTACTTCATTCCTTAATTACTAAATAAAAATAGTAACTTTTATTTAGCATCTACTATATATGTGGGCAACAGACTATAGAAACTTTTTAGAGTAGCAAACTCATGATTCAACACCAATTAATATTTTCTCAATTTCCAATTTCCACTCTGAAGGAATTCAAAACCATGTTAATAAGTGAATTCAGATGATTTGGTATTAGAAAAATAAATTCACATAATGTATCATTTATTACACTAGGGCTTAAGTGATAACTTCTTAAGGATTAGTTATAATGTGAATTCTAAGACTAACACAATGAAATTTTTAAATTTAAAATTTAAATTCTATTACATTAAAAACCTTTCAACATATCTTGCCCTTTGAATGCATTTCTTGTACCCTTGCATGATTGTGTAGTGTACACATTGCCTTTGGAAAATTGGTTCATTGAGATATTCAGATCTTACAAGATATATGGATATATATAGATATATCAACAACCTATCTGGCAACAGGACATGTTGTTCATCTCTCTCTCTATATATATCTATATAGTTGGCATATGTGTGTGTGTGTGTGTCCGTGTAATCAAGTAATTGCCTTCTTTTTATTTTAAGATTTATTTATTTATTTGTGCATACAAAACTGGGGTAATGGCCAGAGGTGCAGGCAGTAAGAGGATTCACAGAGACAGAGTGGGGAGATGTACTGGCAGATGTAATGAAATACACTGCTGAGGGGAGCAGCAGGCAGGTCAGGAGAGGTCTGTCATACCATGTGGGTCAGCTCCCTGGCGAAGGATTGAACTTGTGCTGCAGTGGCTTTGTATAGCTTCATAGTCCTGTGTTTTAACCCATTGTGCCACCAGGGCGGGCCACGTGGTTCGCTTCTTAAAATCACCACTGTTGGTATCATAAAAGTTTTTAATTTGAGGAATATTGCCAAGTTCACCATGACAGACTTTTCAAAATTCTAAATTTCCTGTTGAAAGTTCAGTTGCTATAATTCCCATCAAATATTTTCCTGGAAGTACAGTTCCACTTCATAAATATCTTAAGAAAGTGTCTATCAAATGCCCAAGTCTGAATAACCATAACTTGTTTGTCATTCTTCACGTAAAAATGAAGAGTGGCTAGTTTAGCTTCTCTGTGTGAAGAGTGGCTAGTTTAGCTCACAACTCAATTAGAGAAGTGCTTTTCCTCAAAAAAGTCATCTTCATCAGAATGAAGTATACTGAGTATCAAAAAAAAAAAAAAAACTCACAAAGAATATTTAGGATATATACTCAAAAGTCAAGCTTAGCCAAGATTAATATTTCAAGAACATTCTTTTAAAATTAATTTTAATTGAAGTAAATAGTTTATAGGTTTCACATGTACAGCACTGTAATCAGCATTTGGGTAATTATACATTATTTTTTCCATTCCAAATTAGATTCCTCCTTCACCGTGGAACTGACCCACTTTACCTGATTTACCTACATTCTCTTCTCCCTTTCCTCCCCTCCCACTATTTTATCCTTTTTTTTCCCCTAATTTTTCACATGCTTAGAACACTGTGCTGCTTTTCTTTCTCTGTGTGGTTTGCTTTCACTTAGCATATTAACCTCTTGAATCACCCATGTTGATTTCAGCTTACCGTTGAGTAGTATTTCATTGTGTTTATATCCTAGATTTTCTTTATCCATGCATTGTAGGCATTTAGGCTGTTTCCATGTCTTGGCTATTTTGAATAATGCTAGAGTGAATGTGGCATTGAGAATGTTCTTATGTGATGCTGGCATCTTTTTTTTTTTTTTTAAGATTTATGCATTTATTCATACAGAACTGGGGTTCAGGCTAGAGATGCGGAGAGTGAGAGGATTCACCAGGGACAGAGTGGGGAGCAGAACATGCCGACTGATGAAGTACACTGTTGAGGGGAGCAGCAGGTGAGCCAGGAGAGGTTTGCCACACCATGTGGTCATCTCCAGGGCAGCACTCATGCAGAAGTGGCATAAGCTTCTTAATGCTGTGCTTTAACCCACTATGCCACTAAGGAGGGCCCGATGCTGGCATCTTTTAAAATTCAAATATAATACAGTAGAAACAGAAAAACACAGTTTTCTATACAGTTTTTTTCACCCTAGGAAACTTTGCTCTTCACACAATACGTAAGAAATTGTAACTCATCCTTCAAGTATCAGCCATCATATTGCCTCCATGGGGAAAATGGAATGTTGTTTAAATGCCATTGCATTTAATAAATATCTAATTACTAATAACTATTTATTTAATGGCTACATACTTTGTTCTATTGTTATGCTCAGGAAGGGCAGGGACTGTGCATCTCATTCTTCAGGCTCAATCCTCAATGCCAGTGAATGAATGACCTAGATCATATAGTATTATCTTCAGTTGGCAGAACTAAATTTGGAGGAGGGTTTTATTTTTGAAAGAAAGACATCTTAAAAGTTTATGAAATGTGTAAAAAAGTACCATTTTTATTAACAAAAAAACATATTTTATGTAAAAATAGAACATTCAGTGCAAATAATAAATAACTGCTAATAAAAATGAACAGATAAATAAATAAATATTTTATAATATGAGGCTCAGCTACAGTACACCAATTACATTTCTTGCAATTCTGAAGGTAGTTGACTTACACAGGCTTCATATTACTAACAAAAATATGCCAGCTATGATTCTCATTATTTTATACCTGAAGCAAACAATAACAGTTTTGGAAATGACTGAACAATTCAATGCCTGAGTTAGACTATTCGTCACGAAGAATCACATTCCTTCTTACATTCTGAATTTTCTGATAAGTTTGTTAGTGAAGAGAAGGCACCTCCTGATTTCCACTGTCACCACCTTCCAGGCACAGCCCGTGTATTTCTTCTGTTTCAGGTAGAGACGGATTCCCAGGAAGTATCTCTTCAAAGCCAGCATGGGACCCTCAACACCTAGGGCCCAGTCTTCCTCTTCCAGTTCCTTCACCAAGCAGGCGTCCAGATCTTGCTGCTGCCCATAGAGTCCAGCACGCAGGTGGTCCAGGAGGGTCTGGTTCCAGGCAATAGAAGACTGCTCTGTGAGGAACAGGAGCAAGGTCTGCTGGAGAATCTCCTTCAGGACGGCCATGGCCTGGGCCTTCTGGAGCAGATTGCCATCCAGCTTTTCCTTGGGGAGATGGAAATTAGTCCTGTTCTCCAGACAGGAAAGATCAGAGATTGTCCCCATTTGCTCCAGAACTCTGAAGGTCTCCAGATTTCCCAAGTTGAGGTTCTTTGCTAAGTCCAGGTCACAACTGATGGAGTAGATGGGACTGGAGAGCATCACCAGCACCATGAGTGAAGAGACCAAAAAGGCCATTGGCAAATTCTAAGAAGATGCTCTTCAGGCTGAGATGGGAGATTGTGAGCTTTTGTCCAGCTTCTCTGAAGATTTTCTGCCTGTGGGCTTATTAAATAGCACAGTATTTCACTTTCTGATTTCCCCCCAATCTAGGACTTCCCCATTTAGCTTTCCTTTCTCTTCAAGGAAATGAAAAGTGTTTCTACTCTTTTAATGAAATGAACATTAAAAAAAAATTATTTTTTAAAGAAATCATTAGTCCCAATTCAATGCAATGTTTGTCATCTTAGCAAAAACCAACTTAGATGTAATAACAAAGCTCTAAAGAAAACTTTACTAGGCTTCTTTTGAAAATCTTTCTCCCTTTCTAGTTTTCCCTCTTGGAAGTATTAAGCAGATTCTGATATTTATATGCCTTCTTATCACCTTATTCTCTGCTGTAAAACAATTATTTTGTAAAAAAAAATTAAAAAAAAGTTTTTTCCCTCCTTCACTGAGAAAATTACTGAACATTTACTGTGTGCCAATTACTATGCCGCCCTCTGGCTACACAGAGATGATGCACCTGCGGTCTTGCCTTCAAGAAGAGCCAAGACAATGCTCACTGATGTCCAGTGCATTATGCCCAGACATTATTACAGGGATCTCATTCAGTCTTCACTACATCCCCCAAAAAACAACTGATTATCATTTCCAAGTAACAGAGTAGAAAACTGGTGTGTCCTGGTCACGCATCTGTAAAGGTGGGAGCTGTGGCATGAGTCCAGGATGCCTGTCCCAGAGTCACCATCCCAGTCTCCAGGCTGGTATGTCTTCTCCACTGGCATTCTTCCTGTGGTTCCAGGTGAGTCATTTCCAATTTCCTTTTTACAAAGCACTGCTACTGTTGCAGCAGTAGCAATGTGTCTTAGCTACATCATAGCTCTGTCAAAGGAATGTCAAAGGCAATCCATTTTTTTCATTTGCTGTTTTTGCATAATTTTATTATTTTGTGCATATAAAGACTGGGGTACAGGCCAGAGGTGCAAGGGTTAAGAGGATTCACCAGAGACAGAGTGGGGAGCAGGATGGGCAGATTGACTGAAGTACATTGTTGAGGGGAGCAGTGGGCAAGACGGAAGTCTGCTGTGCCATGTGGGTGAGCTTCCTGTCCGGGGATTGAACTTGTGCTGCAGTGACTGCGGCCAGCTTCATAGTGTTGCACTCTAACCCCTTATGCCACTATTACTTCTTTTGTACTTGTGTTTTCACTTGATAAAAGTCATCCTAATTCCTCTTCAGTCTTTTCTGTTTCCACTTTGAGGCTTGTTACAAAAACAAAAAGGAAATGAAAACCTACAGGAGAGAAGGAGTTAATAGATTTCCCGTATGGTTTTCAAGACATCAGAACTTTCCCCTCTCTTTTAAGGTTCCTACAAAGTCAAAGTAAGCATTTATGATGAGGTAGGCACAAAGGCAAATGGAAAGTAAATGCTGAAAAAGAAAAGGAAAAGGAAAAAGGAACATCTCTCTCCAAATAACAAAGAAATGTCACTTAACTAGATAAATCAGGGATTAGAAGCTCTGCAGAGTGACAGGTATCAGACTAGTCCGTGTGAGATTGTTGGAATACTACAGAAGAAGGCCCACTGGCTTTTTAAGGCACATTGTTACCAAAGGGATGAGTTTTCAGCTCTGCAGAGTCACAGCATCTGTTACTTATTTGTCTGTTACCTGTTTTTCACAATCCAAGATGATGAGGAGACTCCCAGAAAGTAATCACACCACTTCACAGAAGGGGCTGGGTTACAGACTGGGTGACTGTTTATAAATGGGTGAGCGGTCAGCTGTTACCTGAAGGCTGAGAGAATTTAATCATTTGGACAGGGAACTCCCAGTCATGTGATCACATGTTCAGATTCAGATAAGAGGTAAAGTTGGAAAAAATGTTGATTGGTGAGCTGAAAATGAAAAAATGAGATTACTTCATGGCAACATTCCCCTTGTTTTTGTAGTTGTGGAAATGGCTCACTGGTGTCTGATGTATTCTGTCCAGCCATCATTCAGTCTTCACTACACCACCTAAAATACAAGTGATTATCATTTCCGAGTAACAGAGTAGAAAACTGGGGTGTCCTGGTCACGCATCTGTAAAGGTGGGAGCTGTGGCTTCAGTCCAGGATGCCTGGCCTGGAGTCACCATCCCAGTCTCTAGGCTGGTGTGTCTTCTTCACTGTTGTTCTTCCTGTGGTTCCAGGTGAGTCATTTCCAATTTCCTTTTCACAAAGCACTATTCACTCATACAATGGACAGTCCAGTACTCTTGAAAACAAAACATCTCCCGTTAAGTCCCAGTCCTGCTTTTCAAATGATGTTGCTCCATAGCTGTCAATTGGATCTTTGAAAGTTGCTGCTCCCATATGAGGTAAATTCAGAAATTAGCCAGGAGGTTAAAATACCCATTTACGTTTAGTGGGTGTCCCTGTTAGCCAGGAACTAAACCTCAGTGCTATGACCCCTGTGGCCTAAGTTCGAACCCCAATGGGGAGCTATATCAGACATGGTGCGGCAGACCTCTCCTGTCTGGCCCGCTGCTCCCCTCAGCAGTGTATTTCAGTGGATCCGCCTGCTCTGCTCCCCACTCTGTTTCTAGTGAATCTTCTTGCCCCCCTGAGCCTCTGGCCAACTCTCCAGTTCTTCTATGAATAAATAAATAAATATGTAATTTTATTCTTGCTATCTTTGTTTTCAAAGACTATCATTTCCTCCAAGTTCTAGGTCCACTCTGTTTGGGAGTTTTTTGTGTGTGTGTGCCTGCCAAGTGACAGAGTCCTCAGGGTGCCTCCTCTGTGACAGACCCCTTACTGGGCACTTAAAGTAGAGCTGGACATCCACACAAAACTTACAATCTAGCAGGATAGTCAGAAATTAAACAAAGAATTAGATTGACTACTTAACTACAAGTATATAGAGTGTAACTAAAGAAGAATGCTTCAGCCTAAGGAGGAGCGCCGGGGAGGTAGAACAGTATAGTGGTAAAGTACTATTTAGTTAAATCAATCGTGGTTCTTATCAAGTTCAATAACCTCGCATAATTGTCGGCTTTCCTCATTTGCAAAATACAAATAATTATAGTAATTATCTCATAAGGAAGCTGTGAAGATTAAATGAAATAATGTTTATAAAACACTTTGCTCAGAACCTGCATATAATTAAAGATTGTTGCCATTAGTATTTTAAGTAGAATCAGTATATGACACATTCAGCAACATGTCATGATAGGCTTTGGGGATCACTGTCTGCAAACATCATTGGCAGAACATTGCTTGTCCTGAAGAGCTCCACAGGGGAGGCTATTTGTATTATTGATGACCAAGGCGAAGTTTTTACTGTGAAAGGTTGTACTTGGTAGAGAACAGAGAGACTCAAACTCAGGCAAAGTGGAATCTTCTAGGGAAACCAGTATCCAGCAAAGTACCGAGCAGACCATAAATGCATCAGAATTTTTTTTAGCAAGTGATACCTGTCCTACTGTTCTACAAGCAATATCTTCAAGTGAGTTGAAGACCAACTCAGTGATATCTTTAAGCTCAAAAGTAATTGATATACATATTATTTGTGAAAGCATTTATTTCATTTTTATTTATTAAATATTCATATTTATTAGCAATTAATTAAAATATTTTTCTTTAATTGTTGTAGTCCCATAGTTCCCCAACACTATTTTTTAAGAAGGGAAAAAATAAGAAAAATCAAAATCTTCTCTTTTATAAACAATTATGTATTTCTGCTGACCTGGAAAAGACCTCACTGCATAAATGTTTTTCCCTTCTCTGACTCTGTTTAAGCTTTTCTCTCCAAAACAACCTAGATAGCATGAAAGATATGTTAGAATACTGTGTAGAAAGTGCAATGGCCTGTATATTTTGTCATCCTCCATCTGACAAGCATGCCAAAAAAATGTACTTTTTGCTTTTATTTTTTAAAAGATTTTATTTATTTATTCATACAGTATTGGGGTACAGGCCAGAGGTGCAGGGGGGGGGTGAGAGGATTCACCAGAGACAGAATAGGGAGCAGAACAGGCCGGCTGATGAAGTAAACCGCTGAGGGGAGCAGTGGGTGGGTCAGGAGAGGTCTGCCGCGCCATCAAAATGTACTTTTTTCAAACTTTAAAACATTTTTATTGAAGTAACATTTATGACATTATATAGGCTTCAGGTGTACAGCATTAGAGTTCACCATCTCTACAGAGCACATAATGCTCACGGCCAAAAGTTCAGTTTCCATTCATCACTGTACAATTGACTAGCTTTATCCCACTTACCACCCCTAGTTCCCTCCCACTCTAGTCATTATCATTTCATTTTCACAAGCTAAGAGTTTGTTGTTTGTGGATGCACATTTTAAGTTGACTTGGCAATAAAAAGTAGAAAGAAATGGAAAGGGTGAAAAGGAGAAAAAAAAACAGAAAATAAAGTTTCTATTTCTATAGTGACTACTTGCAAGGCACTCACCACCCAAAGACCCAGTACTTACAGAGATTTCCCCTTCAGGTAGTCCTGCTGAACTCTCTCCACTTCCCAGTAGTCTCCCCAGTCCTGTGCTGCTGCTCTGGTACCAATGTGCTGGGGCCCTGCCCGCTTCCTGGGCTGTCACCTGCCTCTGGGGCATGGCGATCCAGAAACCTTCACACTTTTAGATCAGCTGGGGAGAATCTCCGTTCTGTTCTGTCTGGACGTCACGAATGACTTACAGTTTCCTCAGACGCTGTTAGGCAGGAACTGGTGGTAGCAGAAGACGCAGGTCACAGTGTTGGTGCATGAGGTACTTCAGCAGATCTTTAGCCTCTTCAGCAAAAATGCCTCCCTGAACATAGTGAGGGGACCCTCCTGGACAAATTGCTCGCTAAACTTTATTGGCAGCTGCATGACCTGTAGACATGCTTGGAGAAGGAATGGAAGGTGGGACTGTGGCCTCTGGTAGGCGAGAACGCCATACTATCGGCGAAGTGTTACTTCCAAGGAATCTGTCTGGAT